GCAGAGGGAACAGGTTGTGCAGTGGCAAGGAAACTGTTTGGGCTTGGGATATGTGAAGGAGAATAAGAAATTCGCCATGGCCAGAGGCTTGTGTGTATATCAGGATTACATAAAATACTAACATAGGACCAAAAATGTTGTATTTTTTATGTCAGCAAGCAGGGAATGAAATACCCTACTTTCCAAAGAAAACTTTTAAATTTATCTTTATTTAGTGGTCTAATGGCAGTCAAGCTGACTTCAAAGAGAAAAGACCATCTCTGAGTAACTTGCTATGTGGAATACAGTAGTGCCTCTTTATCCAAGATTTCACTCTCCATGGTTTTAGTCAGCTGGGTCAATGGTGGTCTGAAAATATTAAATGGAAAATTCCAGAAACAAACAATTCATAGGTTTTAAACTGAATGCCTCTGTGTGATGAAAGCCCTTTCATTATAGCACACCGTGCTATATATTTGCTCTATTTTATTATTGTTGTTGTTAAATTCTTACTGTGCCAAACTTATAAACTAAATTTTATAATGGGTATAGAGTTATGGAAAATATAGCATTCAGGGAGGGATCTTAGAACATATCTTCTACAGATTAGAAGGGGACTGCTATACTACAGGTAGATGAGTTTCCTGAAATAGAATCTTTCTGGCTTTTAGGCAATAGTTAAGTCATATATATTTAAAAATATATCCACAGTAATTTTCTTTGTGAAAAGCAAGTACTCTACTTGGCTACAAACAAATTAAGGCAAAGCTCCCAGATTAAAAACAAATACTGGGATCTGTGGTTGTGGCTCAGTGGTAGAGCACTTGCCTTGCATGTGTGAAGCCCTGGATTTGATCCTCAGTACCACATTAAAAAAATAAACAAAACAAAGTGTTATATATGTGTGTGTGTATATATATATATATATATATATATATATATATATTTTTTTTTTTTTTTGTATTTGTAAAAAACAAAAACAAACAAACACTGCAGGAGTGTGGGCATGTAATGAGGTAATTTTAGATAAAATGTGTTTTTCAAGAGGAAAGTGAGGGAAAGAAGAGAAACTTACATATTAGATGCGTCATTGAATCCTAACAGACTTTTTTCTCACCATTTTATCAATGAGAAAATCAAGAATCAAGTACAGAAGTCTCTTATAGAATTAGCTGCTTAAACTTGAGCCTCATATTCAACCTCTGAGACTTATTTTTTCTCTGCAAAATAAGGATATGACACATGTTGCTTACCTGCTTACCTCACAGGCTCAAGAGGATTGAAATAATAATAAATAGAAATTTTGGCACCATTCTTGACCTTTACCTAACTTAGATTCTCTGATTCTCTCCTGATGTTTGTATATTAGTCAAAACTGGATCTTTATAAAAGTGACTTAAAGAAACCTGTTTGTGGAAAAAGTCTTCTAAGGACATTTGTCCCTCGATGACCATAGAAGACTGGTTCCAGGATGCCCGAATCCACAGATGCTCAAGTCCCTCATGTAAAATGTTGTAGCATTCGCATCTAACCTGCACACATCCTCTTGCATACTTTAAAAATGTTTCTGGGTTACTCATAATATCTATTGCAGTGTAAATACGGTGTAAATCGTTACCATACTTTAGAAAATAATGATGTGAAAGAGTCTACACATATTTAATACAAAGCAATTTTTTTCCAAATATGTTTGATCCATAGTTGATTGAATCCCCAGGTGCAAAACTTTATGATATGGGGAGCTAACTGTATATTACTTCAAATATTTTTTAAAAAATTTTTCTTAGTTATACCTGGATACAATATCTTTATTTTGTTTATTTATTTTTATGTGGTGCTGAGGATCAAACCCAGTGCCTCACATATACAAGCAAGCACTCTGCCAATGAGCCACACAACCCCAGCCTGCAAATCATTTATTTTTAAATAATTTAAAAAATGTAATCCCCATGTATATTTTCCCAGTGTGTGTGTGTGTGTGTGTGTGTGTGTGTGTACACATAGTGAGTCTAATCTCTGGCCATTAATATTAACTAAAGTCCATGCATAGAATATTCTAGGGAAATGAATTTTATTTCTTTAAATGCCTTCAGTTTTTCTCCAGGCATTTAAAATAATTTTGTCTGGAAATGTATCTCTCCCTTTTGAAAAATATTTTTAGTTGTAGATGGACACAATAGCTTTATTTTATTTACTTATTTTTATGTGGTGCTGAGGATTGAACCCAGTGCCTCATACAAGTAAGGCAAGCACACCACCACTGAGCTACAATCCCAGCCCTCCTCCCTTTTCTTAAAATGTACCAAATAATGTTACATACACAGCACTGTCCTAAAGGTTTTACATATATTGACTTATTTAATCTCCAAAACAACTCTACAAGATAAATGTTATCATCTCTATATTGCAAATGAGAAAATAAGGCTCAGAGATATTAAGTGACTTGCCTAACATCACATAGCTAATAAGCATCTGGGCCAGGGTATGAGTGGAAGTTTTTGGGTCCAGAATCTGAACTTTTAAACACTGACCAGGCATGATATATTACTTAAGATAATGGACCATCTTCCTAAATAAATCAGAGCCCCAATTATTTATATATATGTGTGTATATATATATATATATATATATATATTTTTTAATATCTACAGAAGCTAATGTAGTTTAGTAGAGGATTGTGTTCCTATAGTATAAGAAATGTCCCCATCTATTATATTTTGACTTTGGTTTACATATTAGATGCAACATTTTTTTGTCCTACTTCTATTAGAAAATTATTTTCCATATACTTACCTTTACCAATTACCTTCTTTCCTCTAATTATTCTGCTTTCAATTTCCAAAGAACCAGAGACTGAACACCCTACCTGTTAGAACTGTGTCTAAACTAGGAATCATGAGGCCTTGAGGGAAAACCTAAGTCTTTAGTGGATGGACTTTATGACATCTGTGACAGGGATCTTTAGTTTTGGGCATGTTTTCTGTTCTCAATGGTGACCAGATAGTTCAGATAGATGGCTAAGTGACTTCTCAACAAGCAAGGTGTCACAAAATATAAATTCAAGGGATTTCTCCAGTTCCACCTGTTCAGAAATGTTTTAGTCATCATCCTAATTAGAAGGGTGGCCTAGTTCCTCAAGCTTCTGAGTAGCCATCTGATGCTTGGAAGTAGAGAGACGTGGCTACAACTTGAATAAAAATAGCCCTTCCAGATGGCTGAGGGGCAAAGTTACAACTCAGCAGCTTGATATAGCTGAGCACTCATATTTTGGAGTGGGAGGAGAGCTGTGAGAGAAGTGGCCAGAGAAACTGGGCCTGAGTCCAATCCTAAGGAGAACAGTATATGCCAGGAGCGATCATTTAACGTGGCAGATTAGCCGTTAAGATTTCCTGTTACTTCATCTCCATCTCCTCCTCACCTCCCTTGATTCAGTCTTGCCTCAGATCTGAAGGGAAAACACATACACACATACCCTCCCTCCCACAGAGGAGTGGGAAGATAAGCCATGCAGGAGCAGGGGGTCATGAGTCCCACTAACACCCTGGGTGAGCCTGAGTATTTGCTTCACCTCTCTGTATTCCAGTTTGCTTGTCTCAGAATAATGGAGACTTCAAAAATCCTTTAAGATGTATGAGTTAGTGGATAATCAAAAAATGCTTAAAGCTTTAAATAACCTCTAATCCCAGTGGTTAGGGAGGCTGAGGCAGGAGGATCACCATTTCAAAGCCAGCTTCAGCAATTTAGCAAGGCCTTACGCAATTTAACAGAAGCCTGTCTCAAAATAAAACATAAAAAAAGGACTGGGGATATGACTCAGTGGTTAAGAGCCCCTGGGTTCAATTCCTAGTACCAAAAAAAAAAAAAAAAAAGATATGCTTGAGCTTTGTAAAATTCTCTATTTATATATTTATATTTATTCTATATTCCACAGTTTCCCTAGCCCTGCCTTGACTCATTTCAAACCTGAAATGCAGCCTTTAGTATTTTAAAGCATGGAATATTGCAAATGTCATATTATTTTTACCTCTGAAAACAAATACTAAAGCTCTGAGAGATGAGTCACTGGTTTAAAACCTTATTTCACAAATGAAAGTGTTTACAAATCAAATGCTTAAATACTGCAATAGACACAGTTCTCTCATTTTTCTACTTTCTAACTGCCCTGTATTTCTATTGAACATTCCGGAAGAAAACTGCAGCCTCTGTAAAACTTAATGTACTCTATTAAATCTCTCAAAGTCTGCTCAAAAAAAAAATGAATGTTGGTTTTAAAAATATGGCCATAAGGAATGGGTTAGTGCTTATCTTTGGCAGTTGTGATAGATGGTTATTTTTCAAAAACAAGCTAATCAAGAAATTCTTTTAACACTGCTCTCTTTTAACACCAATGCCAGGGCATGACTGTTCCCTGGTGGCAGTACAGACTCATTGCAAGCAAGCTTCTTAAAGGGGGAAAAGAATTTGATTGCCAGCCTCCCAAATTCAGTATTATAATAATCCAACTCTTCAAAACACTCCCACTTGTCTTGCACATTCTTACACAGAAGATTTACAGGTATCAAAAACATCTCCTACCACCTTATGCAACACCATAAAATTTGTGCTGCCCAAGGAAATAGCACAATATTGTTGGAAAGCAGGATGTTACTTTTCAACAGGAAGTTTCTTTTCCTCTTCTGGAACTGTCTGAAGTGCAGGCTTTGTGCTGGGTACCCTAGTTTTTGCATACTGCTCCAGCACCATACCCTGTGGCTATGAACTGCATGGCTGACTAATGGAGAAGTGGTCCATAGGAGGAGGAATGGAGAGAGGAAAGGGTCAAGCATTTTTTGATTGTCTACCAAGTTCGTGGGCCTGTGCTTCCCTGTTAGAGCTGGAGCACTCCCATTATACAGGTGTGCTAATTCTCCTCCAGGTACATCCCCCTTGCCCTGTAGCATACAGACCTAAGAACAGGCCCTGAAGGACAAGCCCTCCTGTTATATAGCTGTTATCCAAATTAAGAATGAAAATCAGCACATGATTTTTGATACCTTTATTAAGAAATATCAAAAGTTCATTACAGTTCCATACACAGTTTTACAAAGTTCAAGTGGGGAAATGTAGGATGCCATCAATGTGCACATTTGAACACTATGGTTGCTTGCCAGAGGGGTGACCCTACAACTCCAGTCACTGAGTTTCCCAGTGGTCCATAGCAATGCTTTTCCCCAGTTTCCATTAGATCATAACACACTATCTTAAATTACCTGAAGGAATAACATTAGAAAGATGTCTTACATATTTGTCCTTCTGTTTTGTCATTCATTATCCCCTGAAAAAGCTGTTTCTAGGAAACACAACATCTGAGTCCCAGTTAGTGTTTTTTGTATTACATTTTCACAAAGGCTGCTTTGAAAGCTGGCAAACAACGTGTTTCACGTTACCACATTACACACGGGAGGACCCAAGCACATTAAAAAAAAATTAACAATGAAAAAAAGAGGCAATTACTTATTTTGGAAACAAAATACCACTATCATTCAGTGGAACCCTTGAGTATAGGACATGCCTACCACTTCCACTGACCCCCCACTGCATGACCGAGCACAACTGGATGCAGGAACACCAGCACACAATACAGGAAGGAGTATATTGGGGCGTGGTACATCATCTTTTATGTTTGGGGGTGCTGTATCAGAGGGGAATTACACTTTCAAGTAACCGGGGATAGTAGGTCATCAGTACCAGATGGGAAACAGCCAGGGTGCATGTGCCTTGCTTAAGGCTTGTGCTGGTTTATCTAAAAGTAGATTTCTGGAGAGACGGTCCAGCAACATCGGAAAAGAGCTGTCTTCAGAGGAAGGACTCCTTGTTCACCCACATGAGACTGCGCGTCTCGTTGGGCTTGCACTCATACTCAATGACAGAGAAGGGGCTTCCCCATTGGCAGTGGTCTCGCTTGTGGTAATTGTAGAACTTGACCTGCCACACTGTTTCGAAGGTCCCAATGTCCGTGAACTGAAGGAAGAGAAACACAACCAATAAGACCTCACACTTCGATAAGCAATGGAAGAGAGCTAATGTCACTGGCATGGTGCTTGAACATCATGCCTAATCAATCAAGTCCCTCTCGGTCTGCAGAATTTAGGCCTTTGCATTTGTGAATTATCTTCCTTTGTTACCAGAGGTATTTTCTGGAAAGCTGTCTAGCATTTGCTATCATATTGCTTTTATCAAAAATAACTTTCTAGTTTATATTGTTTTCCAAGCTCAGTTTTCTGAAAAATCATCTTAGAATCTCAGAATTGTAGAGCTTGAAGTAAAACTAAAACAAAGTTTGCAGTACCTACCAAAGAAGGAGAGCTGGAAAGAAAAGAAGGAATTATGTATACTGGCTGTCTTCTGGTTTCTACTTCAGAAGATAGTAGTACCAGATAGTATCTGTTCAGCATAGCTAAACATAAGATACATTTGTCCTTCTACCATTAGTTTCAATTCTAGGAAAATATATTTAACTTGAGGTGATAGTCACAAATATTTTATTGAAAGTATTTGACTGTTTAATTATCTGCTTTAACCATCAAATATTGACTTGTAAGTCAAGAGTCCATGCCCACATCTCAGACTTAGGGAATACTTTATTGGAAACCATAAACAATATTAGAGCATTTACTATGTACCTTGCACATATAAAATTTTGTATAAGGCATGATTCCTGCTCTTAAGGAGCTTGCATTCTACTTCCAGAAGGTAGGCCTGGAGATAGTTGCACAGAATTCTCCTAAGCCTAAGGTTGCATTTCTCTTGTAGCCAAGAAAAGGGCTCAGAATACCCTAGAGACCAGAGGCAGATGCTCAAGTGGCCTGTGGGGTTGCCTGACCCTGCTACCACCTTCTGGAGCTATTTAGGGGATTTGGCATTAAACAGTGTGATGCCTGTCGTTATTTTCTCCTCTGACCCTCCTGTCATGGGTGGGGACAGGGACTGACTTGGCAGGATTCTTAGACTAGTCAGGAGCCAGAAGACATGGAGAGAAGAAGGGCAGTGAGCAATAAGAGCCTTATGCTTTGCAACTGATACAAGAGGAGGGTGATCAGGTGCTTCCCAGATAGCTTTCCAAGATGCTCTCAAAATTATATCCTGCACCATTGCCTCATCCTGCTAATTTGGTACCAAAACAAGATCTGGGCTTTCCTTTGGGAAATTTGCTTGATGTGAAACAGTGGATGATAGACCTAGAGTCCACCAAAATCCCAGGCATGAAAATATGGTCTCTGTTTTTAGAGAGTCATGGCTAAAGAACTATTTATACGAGCGTAGCATCTTTCTTCATAATAGTCCCAGATTGGAATCAACCCAAATGTCTATGCATTCTCCTGGTGATAGGCAAGTTTGGTTATATTTATAACACGACACTCTACTCAACAATAAAAAAAAGTACATGCTAATTCAGGCAACAACAGGAATGGATTTTTTTTCTTTTCTTTCCCTTTTTATTTATTTATTTTTTTTGGTGCTGTACTGGGATTGAACCTGAGGTGCTTTGCCACTGAGCCACATCCCCAGTCCTTTTTATTTATTTATTTATTTTGAGACAGAGTCTTATTCATTTGCTGAGACTGCCCTTGAACTTACAATCTTCCTGCCTCAGCCTTCCCAATCATTGGGGTTACAGGCCTGTGCTACTACACTTGGCAAACAGGGGTGGATCTTAAAGACATGCTGAGCAAAAATCTAGACCTTATGAACCCATCCTGAATGCTTCCATTTATTTAAAACTCCATAAAATGATAGAATAGAGTCCATACTGACAGGAAACATTCGTGGTTATCTAAGTTTTGGGATGTGCAAGAGGGAACTTTCTAGAGATGATGGAAGCATTCTATAATTTGAATTGGGGTGGTGGTTACATAGATGTATGTAGGGTCAAACTTATTGAACTGTATGCTTAAAATGGGTACATGTATTATATGTAAGCTATGCTACATTAACCAAGAAAAATAGAAATGTTCATTTTCAGTAAGCTACAGGGATTCAGATAATCCAATGATAATAATGGGAATTGAATTATATAGCCTTTTGGAATGGTAACTTCCATCAAGTCAAAGGTGTGAGTACACTTGGGTCCAGCAATTCTACCTCTTATAATTTATCTTAAGAACATCACAAAGTTGAGAGCAATGAAAAGTTAAACTATAAATAGGAGTCTTTAAGACATTTGTTAATTATGGAATGTCCAAATAATGGATACCATGTAGCAATTTTACATGTAAAATATTTAAACCTTTTCCATTATTTTGTATTGTTACATGAACTAAGCAAGTGTACTGTTAAGAATGTGTAGTATTATTCAATCTTAATCATATTTGTTGTTGTTGAAAACTGATAGAATACATTTTATTTACTCCCATGTGCTATTTTCAAAATTTAATAATTTTTGTAATCAGAAAGAAAATGTTAGGGGCTGGGGATGTGGCTCAAGCAGTAGCGCGCTCGCCTGACATGTTTTGCGGCCCGGGTTTGATCCTCAGCACCACATACAAACAAAGATGTTGTGTCCGCCGATTAAAAAATAAATATTAAAAAAAAAAAAGAAAGAAAGAAAATGTTAGGGCTGGGGTTGTGGCTCAGCGGCAGAGCGCTTCCCTCACACATGTGAGGCACTGGGTTCGATCCTCAGCACCACATAAAAATAAATAAAAAATAAAAATATATAAAAAGAAAATGCTAAAACCAAAATTGTATTTATGAGTTTTACCAAATAGTTACCATTCTTAGTATACAAGATTATATGAATTAATTAGTAAGAGCTACTAAAAATATATAGATATTAGACTGGAACACAGATTATTAAAAAGAAAAACAGTGTAACATCTGAACAACATTCATATGTAATATTATTAGTAATTAAAGAAACAGTCTTTTACCAGTCATTTATCAACTTAGTAAAACATTTCTAAACTTCTTGCTGGAAGCAATCTAAGCATTCAACATTATGATATGAAAATAGTAGCATATCCATATGATGGACTTAAAAAGGAAATTAGGGTTATTGATGCAAGAAAATGCTTAAAACAATGTTAACAGGAAAGAGAACTGTTTATATACATGAGGCCAAATATATAAAATCAGATGCATAGAACAAAGAAAATGAAAAATACTAACTTAGCTGTGCACAGTAGCACATGCCTGTAATCCCAGAAGCTCAGAGGCTGAGGCAGGAGGATCTTGAGTTCAAAGCCAGCCTTAGCAACATAGTGAGGCCCTAAGCAACTCAGCAAGAAACTGTCTCTAATAAAATACAAAAAAGACCTGGGTATGTGGCTCACTAGTTAAGTGCCTCTCGGTTCAATCCCTGGTAACAAACAAACAAACAAAGAAACCTAACCTATACATATAGAAAATAATCATCTCTATCTTTTCATTCAGATTTTCCCACAGTAGGGCTGGGTATGTAGCTCAGTGATAAAATTTTTGCCTAATAGGGATGAGGCCCTGGGCTCAATCCTGATATCACCCCTCCACCCCTGTCCCCGGGCCCTCCTGCAAGAGATTTTCCTTGAAAAAAAATGATACTTCTTTAATCCAGATTTTTATATGGTGAGATGGATTTATCACCCCTCAAAAATTAATACATATAAATGCCCAAATGAGAGTTTATAAATTCTACTAAGACTATGTATACTCTAATGAAAATATTACAACTTTGTTAACAATAGGGTAATGGTGATATGAATAAATTGAAATTTGATTTTATAATTCAATAAGACATTTAAAGGTTTAATAATAATTTTAATCAGAACAAGGGACTGCAATTTTAAATGGGACTGATGTTTAAAATTCAATAAAATTAGAATTTTATATTATAGGCTGGGCATGGTGGTACACACCTGTATTCCCAGTGGATTGGATGGCTGAGGCAGGAGGACTGCAAATTCAGAGCCAGCTTCAGCAAAATCAAGGCACTAAGCAACTCAGGGAGACCCTGTCTCTAAATAAAATACAAAATAGGGCTGGAATGTGGCTCAGTGCCCTAAGTTCAATCTCCGGTACCAATAAAAAAATAATTTTATATTATAAAAATAACTTATAAGTTATGTAGATACCTATACATATTTTTTGTGTGTTTTGGGGATACTAAGTACTGGAGATTGAACCCAGAGTTGCTCTACCACTGAGCTACATCTCCAACCATTTTTATTTTGAGACAGGGTCTCGCTGAGTTCAGGCCAACCTCAAACTTCAATCCTCCTGACTCAGCCTCCTAAATCACTGGGATTGCAGTGACCCCAGCTTAAATTATATATTTTATAATGAAACATTTTATTATAAACATTTTGCAAATACCAGTTAATCTTTTAAAAAGCAGCAGTCTGAAATATGCTAGGCAAGTGAGAGAAACAATGCTGAGATCCTTTTTAAAATAAAGTTGGCTGGGAAAAAAACAAAACAATTATGACCACAGGTAAGAAAAAAACTGAAGGCACTACACTTACATCTGAACAAAAAAAAAAAAACTTAAAACCAGGAAGTCTCAATCTAAAACATACCTGTCACACAAGAAACCAAAATAGAAATACATTGACAACAATGGTCATAGCAAAAGATGTGGGCTATTTCATTGCTTATATTTCAGTTTTGGTTTCTAGTTTATTAGCGTTAGGTTCAAGGTTATGTGAAAGTAAACTTAACTGTTGTTCACTATGGATCTGCCTTCCCCTTTCCTGTGCCTTAGTTGTTCACACTTCCCGTTGACTTTCTTCCTATTTTTTCTTTTGGAGTTCTACCTCCTGGACCTCTTACTTCTTAGCTCAGAATTTCTTTTCATCTGGCAAAGAACAGATGGGGTCTCAAAAGCTGACATTCTTCTTAAAGAACAGAAGCACCTACACAGGCTCTCCACTCCCTCCTAACCCATCTGTCCCTTTCAAGGAAAATCTACCCAGGCAGCCTCCTGGGTGATGCAAATTATAATCTAGTATAGTTCTGTGCAGTTGAAGAGCATTTTTTTTAGTACT